ATGAGCCATAAGCCGCTTGTTCACATTGTTCATTTTTCAGCATACAAAAGGAGACTATCAAACTCTGTCTCCATATTTTTATAATACAAGCACTATAAAAATATCAAAATTAGCGGACGCAGAAACAAATTTGTGAAGTTTTGGAAAAGTTTTTTGCAGGCGTTGCAACGAGAATGGTAAAATGGCCTCTTTTCTAAGGAAGTCGAAATGCAAAGAAAATCAAAAACAAAAATATAAAGAAGAATTCTCAGTAAAATCATTGTGAAGTAAACTTGAAGCCGCAAATCAATAGAGTTGAAGAGCGCAGGTCTTCTTTATATCAGAGAGGAGAAAGATAGTGTTGAGTAAATGGCGGTAGTGGGAAGGGGGGGGTTGGTTAAGGCATAAGTAATAACCTATAGACCAAGAAATAGTGGGATATTTTGTAAAATACTCCGCGCACAAACACTTAAACATTTGACCAATAGAGTGTAAAAATTAAACTAATTCTCTCTTTCTCTCTTTGTTGCTTAAAAATACGTATGTTTACGAAGGTGTGTAAGCCATTGATGCTGTTGTTGTCATTGTCGTTATTCTTCTTCTTCTTTTTGCGATTTTTATTGAAAATGTAACATAAGGCTAACGTATGAACGATTGAGTGTACAGTTTGGACATTTGCCATAAAACGTGCTTGCATGCAGACAAAACTGATGACGTCAAATGTATATGTAAGTATGAAGCGTATATTGCATCTAGGAATCAGATACATAGGCATATACTCCAGCACGAGATGTGCACGTTAGTTTTCTTCATGCACATAACATACAGATACACATATATATATATAAATTTCTTTTTTCTTGTTCCTTCTGTTTTCATATTTGTGTATCTATATAAATAGATACTTATATAAATACGTTTATAAGCAATTATTAAGGTTTTATAGCATGTGAATAAGCTTCACTTAAGTTTAGGTGGGCATTCAGTTATGTTTGCGGGTGTATAATTGTGCATTTGTGGATATGTTTATATACAATGCTTGTGCATATCTATCTTAATGCATGCAAAGTATATATCCATCTCTAATACTAACAGCAGAACCGCTAGGTTCATAGGTTATTTACCTTCTATAAGTGTTGAAAATTTTGATTGTGTTTTCTTTTATTATTTTATTACAATTGTTGTTGTTGATTTTGTTGTTTCGTCGATTTTAATGGCATTTTAATGTACGTATGAGAGCTGTAACAAAACGTAACGAGAATTTACCAAAGTACTGAGAAATGGAAAAAATATAAAACAAAAAAAAAATTGTGTTCAACTAATTTTTATAGCTTCGTTCCCATATTTTGTTTCATTTTTTTAACCTAAGGACTAAAAAATGTATTCACAACTACCGAATTAATAGGTCGATTAGCAATTGTGTTTTTTTTAATTACCTTCGCTTTGAGGTTATAAACTGAACAGTTTAAAAGGAGAAAAACGAAAGGAAGAAGAGAACAGCAATTCTTAATAGGTAAGAAGCAAGCAATTCCCAAGCTATTTAATATAAACAAATAACGAAAACTTGTAAGTGTTTAATCAATTAACTAACTAAGTGTTTAATCAATTAACTAACTTTTGGGAAATCAAGATTCTCGACCCTGAAGAGCATGAAAACTATAATAAACAAGAAATAATAAAATAATAAAAGAGAAAACTCTTCATAAGCCATAAGAGAGAAAGGCGAAATAATTGAATATTATTTATTCTTTTGCTTTGAAAAAAGGAAGAAACAAAAATCGACTTTAAATTCAAGTTAATTTATTGAAATTTTTCAGGCCTTTATGGTATCAGTATTATTTCTTAAAAAGCGTAAGAGGGCGGAAACACGGCGGGAAAAGAAGGCCAAAGAACGTCAAAAAAGAGCGCGGCAAAGGGATGTGGGAAGGGAGTATAAGAAACTATATGCGCATAAGTTGTCCAGTGGGTAAAACTCGCGGCCACAAAGTCAATATTCGCGGTTTCAAATCTCAATGCGATAGAGTATACTTTGATCATACCTATAGTGAGTGCTCGGTCGATAAAAGGGTATCGATTGGGCTTACGTTGACTGCAGCCATCACTCCCCTATTTCTTCTTTTCTTTCTTTTTCTTCTTTCTGGCCATCATCGCAAAGTCAAAACAAAGTGCAATTCGCCGTTCTTCTGCTACGCTTGTGAGGAGATGCACTTTTTCCTTTATTTGAGGCCATTTCCCTTTCTTATTTTCTTTTTCAAACCCACTTGTAATGCTATGCAATTGATTTTCCCTTTTCAAGATACTAGATGCATATTACACCATGCGCAACCGCAAAGACCGGACGCCATAACACACGCTTTAAATCATCTTCCCGTTGCATTGTTTGGTCCAAATGAGCAAACGCGGTACCAACTTTGAACAGAGCCATGGACAAGTCTTCATGACTTTTTCATATCATTAAGATGTCAGCTATCTCAAACAAGTTCACTTTTTGGATTTTTGAGACGACCTTGTTGCCCTTTTTTGTAAGTTTTCTGCAACAGTCTTTAAAATTAGTAAACCATCAATAAATTTATTATTTCAACAGACAGGAGTCACTTTAACATCTTTTAAGCCAATGTTGATTGTGGAAAAGGTTTTTTTCTCATCAAAAAGTAACGATTAATCCATCGCATCGGATTATCGCCCAATCTCTCTTTTATCTTGCCTCTCAAAAGTATTAGAAAAGATTATTCAGTTCTAGAACCTGATTACAAAACAACAAGTTGGTTTCAAGAAGGGTAGAGGGTGCATCGACGCTCTTTTACATGTTGATTATTTTACGAGCAAAGCAATTTCCAAACGGAATCATGTAACAATTCTCTCAATTGATTTCGAAAAAGCATTTGACAGAGTTGGTCTTCATGTTATTTTAAGGCTCTTGAATTTATGGAATGTTGGACAGAAATTCTTCAACTACATCAAATCATTCATGTCGCATCGGCGTTTCAAAGTTAGAATCAACAATCATCTTTCTGATTCCTTTTCGCTAATGAACGGCATTCCGCAAGGATCTCCTCTCTCTGTCATGCTTTTCCAGATCGTCTTCAACGAAATTAGCAAAATTCTTTCTCTACGCGGACGATGTATACATTTTTACAAAAGAAAAAGACAACACGAGAGCAATCAACATCCCCGAATCTATTGGACGCGAAATCTCCGTATGGGCAAACTCGTGAGGGGCTAAAAATTCTATACAAATAACAAAAAAATGCATATTTGTCGAAAGCAGATATGCGATGCAGGAAATCTGCTGATGCATATTAATGACTTACCAGTACAAAACGTGCAGACGTTCCATATTCTCGGGCTCACGTTTTCCAACAAATATCGTTGGAAAACACACTGTCTTCGGTAAAAAAATTCTATTTTAACAAGGGTGAATTTCATACAGTACGTTGCTTGGAAAAGTCATGCGCACATTAACACTATTGCTTATCTCACCAAAATGCTTGTTTTCAGCAAGATTGACTATGCTGTGATAATTTATCGCAATAGCTGCAAATATAATATCAACATCCTTAAACCGGTCTATCACCAAGCCGTTAGAGCAAGTTGTTATGCTTTTCGGACGACGCCCATATATAATATTATAATTGAAACTGGTCTCCCAACTTTAGAAAATAGACTGTATGAGTTAAAAGCTAAAATAGTCCTCAAGCTTCTTAATTCAAACAAATCCATTCTCGGTGATGACGTGACAAAGATTATTATTGCGAAGAAAATTCCAAAGTCACCATCTGCAATTGACCATTGTTTGTACGTCACAAAGGAATTAAATATTCCCCTAAAAATTTTCTGCTATTTTGGTGTTAAATCTCCATGGATTTTGAAAGACTGGTCTTTTGACATTTCGCTGTCTATGCACAAGAAAGAAGATATTCCAAATTACGTCTTCAGGAATCTAAAAGCTGAAAAAACCCAAATACTGGAGAGTACCGGTTGAAATCTTTTATACACAGACAGCTCAAAATCTTCTGGTCTGCCACCTGCTTGTGCCGTGGTAGATGCTTCAGGACAGGTTCTTTTCAGTCACATATTTAACGAAAGTACTTCAACTTTCACAATTGAAGCCAAAACTATCCTTCACGCTGCGAGCCTTTCCCATAAAAATAATCTCAAAACCGTCGTTGTTACTGACAATTTGCCTGTATTGAAAGCTATACGCAATCCTTCGAATTCGAGATGGAGCACAATCAACAAATTAAGGAATATCATTACAACACCCGGTGGAAAAATTAAAATGTTATGGGTACCTACTCATATCGGCTTATTGGGAAATGAGCAGGCTAATCGAGCGGCAAAGTATACTGCTTCTGCTCCTCTAATAATGGATGTTTGGATTTTCGCCAATTCGTCTTGGTCATACAATTGCAACTCACCAATGGTTCTTGAAGAAGTCTTCCTCCGCAATCTGCAAATGTGGAAAAATTCTGCCTATAAAGCACATTCTCTGTGACTACCTTAACTTTACCTTGGCTAGAAGTATCAGAGTATTAATACAAGAGTAATATTACTTTATCAAAACTACTAGGCTCAATATCTAATGTACTATCATAAATTATAATGGGCTCCGGCCCACTATACTGTTTTCATTTCTATTTTTTCTGATAAAAGGCGGTCGGCAATAAGCAATAATATTTTTGGGTAAGAAAAGTGCAGGTTTCTGCCAACATTGAAAAAATCTCCTAACATATGATAATTAATAGCAATTCATTGAAGGCTCGTTGTCACGGTTTGCTAATGATCGGTGTAAAAATATTCTGTCTATATAAAGTGAAAATTTTTCCCCTATTGTTTTATGTTTTATTATTCATTACTGCTCTTGACATAACGGTTGCGAAATGTTAAACTGAAACACCGACTAATTAGCCTATAATTTTTGTTAGAACGTTGATGAGGAAGGTATGGATGAGCTACTTTGCAAACTATTTCTAAGGTTTCTCAAATTTATCGCTTTGTTTAACTTTTCAAACACAAATTTAGTTAATTTGGAAACACTCACCAAGGTGGAAGTGCTCTTAGAGCAAAATATAAAAAAAGAAAAAAAAGGAGAGTAAAATCAAATTAATTGAAGTAAACAGAATAACGCATCCTTAAAAAATGGCGGCAGCAGCAGCAACTGCACCTGCAGCGGCGGCTGTGCCAAACAATCTGGTGGAAATAGCAGGCGAAACCAATTTTACTAATTACATGAAAAATCGCCTCAGAGGTGGGGGTATGAAGCGTAAAGGATTGGAGATAATTAACGGCCATAAATTTAGTATGAAATTTTTTAAACAACCAACTTATTGCGGTCATTGTAAAGATTTCATATGGTAAGTAAAACAACAAAATACTTCTATTAATTTAATTAATGCTAATGAATTGCAGGGGTTTCGGTAAGCAGGGCTATCAATGCGAAGGTAACGAATGCTAAAAGAAAAAGAGAAAAAAGAAAATTGAAAAATATATTAAAACTTTTATCGTCATAGAATGTCGCTTCAATATGCATCAGAAATGCTCCAAGTATATTGTATTCAAGTGTCCCGGCAATGATTCAGATATAGACGCTGATTGTGCTAAAGTTAAACATAAATGGGAATCGACCACATACACAACACCGACATTTTGTGATGATTGCGGTCTTTTGTTACATGGCGTTGCTCATCAGGGTGTTAAATGCGATAGTAAGTACTTACTAGCAATCGTATATAGAAACAAAGCAAGTCAATATATCCTTGTTTAGATTGCAATTTAAATGTTCATCATAATTGCAAGGAAAAAGTGCCACCAATCTGCGGTGCTGATATTTCGGAAATCAGAGGCAAGCTATTGTTGTATGTTGAGCTTAAAGGCAATAGCTTGAAAGTTGATAGTAAGTGGAATATATTTTTATTCTTTTTTTTCGTGATAAACGAGGGAAAATTGTTTCCAGTTAAAGAGGCAGCGAATTTAATACCCATGGATACTAACGGTTTAAGCGATCCCTATATAGCTATAGCATTACATCCGGATCGTAGTGGTCGCACTAAGAAGAAAACAAAAACTATACAAAAGAATTTAAATCCAGTTTATAACGAAACGTTCGCTTTGTAAGTCTAAGCAGATGAAATATTTTGGTTTTCAGAAGGACAAAAAGTTGAATTTCAAATGTTTTATTAGCGATTTACAGCCTCAAGATCGTGATAAACGCTTACTAATTGAAGTTTGGGATTGGGATCGGACTTCGCGCAATGATTTTATGGGTTCATTCTCTTTCAGTTTGGAAGAAATTCAAAAGGTCTGTTCATATTTGATCATTTGAATTAATTAAATTTCGTTGGTGTAGTTAGTTTAATTTCTGTGTTATCTCTTCTTTACCATATCGGTCAATGGAGGGAAGTAAATCATAATTATCTGGAATCTCCTTGCACCATTTTTCTTGAACAGCAATGTATTTTTAGTGGCTATAGCCATGATCATCCATCACAACGTCTGTCCGTTGATCCATGGTACCAAGTTCCAAGTCTATAAATATGTGATGAACAAATATTTTTGGGCTTGAATATTATAAATGAATTTTGCAAATATGCCTCAATAAAGAATCGATCTTTTTTTTGTTTCCATAACCAGTGACTCAAGGGCTGTCGTATAACGATGGTGAAGATGGTTCCCTTGTAATGTATTGGTTTCCTGGAGAAATATCGAGAAATTTTTGTGAGCAGACTGCATTTGATGCCATACGGTGTCATACAGTTAAATGCCTATTGTTGTCAATTTTATTTTATTTTTAATTATTTTAAATTCAATTTTTTTTTTATCGAATTAATTTTAAACGTAAGTGGAACTGGAATGTAGACAGTTGACAATAATATGCATTTAACTGTAAAAACCCCTATGCAAGAACTAAAAAAAAAATTAAAAAAACGTTAGCTGGAAAATTTTGATGCATCCATAGTGTACATTAGGCTTTGCTCCGTTGGACTACCATTTGTTTTGTTTTCGACGAAACGTTAAAGCTGATTTCAAAAGAATCTGCAACCCCACTTAGATCTTTACACCCCAAAAGTTCCATGCCGGTAGAGTTAGGAAAGCAGCTGAAAATGAACAAAAAACCTAACAAAAAATATTGCAAAAAGAGTCTCAATGCTTTTTGCTCAAATTATTCTGATGAAGAAATGAGATCTTTTTTTTATCAATAATAAAATTAGTTGCGATAGACATTAATTTGAAATTCAATATTTCCGACTTGTGGAAACAGTTCGAATCAGAGAACTGATTTTAAGACTGGGTAGCCTGGAAAAGATACAAGGTTGGAAATATTACATTTTTAGGTATGGATGATGAGTTTTCAAGATCACGTAAACGTAATTTTCTTATTTATTCAACACTTAACAGAAATAAAAGGGCAGCATGCTAGGCAAATGCAAAAACTCTTTAATTATATTTTTCGTTCGTATCACAAAATATTTTGCGTACATATTTAGCACTTTTGCAGTTACATACAGGTCGTCTAATTTTTGATCTTTGAACTGGACCTGAAGAAAAGGATGAAGTGAAAATGTAAGTAAAAGCTAGAAGCCGTGGTCGCGATCACAGTAAAAAGGACTGACGAGGTTATGATGTTCCCACCAATTAGCATATGTAGCATAACTAACGGGTTCTGTCACGCATGTATCCAATCATTACAAATATTTCTTAAAATAACAATAAGAAGTAATTTGCATTCGTCTTAGGTCAAATTTTTTTAAAAACGTAGAATGAAGATGCTTTCAGTTGATAAATCAGTATTGTAAGATCCATTGTACATATAGTTGATCGTTTATATTTCAAAGGAGACTTTAGTACGATTTGACAACACTGCGCAGCTAATCGTGCAAATTCAAGACCGTTTTTTTTGAGAAAGTCAAGTATAAAACTGAAAACATCATAATGAAAGCGTTATTTTATTAATTTTTGGTTTAAATTGAACTTGAAGAATACAACTTAAGTTAGAGTAGGAATTTATTAATTTTTATTTCTGATTACGGTTACCTCCATTCGCCGATTTCATTAATTTCTGCAAATGAGCTAAAAAAAATTGAGACAAAACTCACGTTTCTAAACAAAATATAGTGGATAGGCAGGCAGACGACGGCACCTAAATCAGTTAGGTTATATACACATGCGTAGGTATTTCATGGCCCCGTGAGCCAAATTTCGACGTCTTAAAAGCGTTGTCGTGATATAACTCCCGTGTTTGGTTCAACAAACTAATATGGTTTATGAGGAAAAACGGACAAATTAGTTTTCTCAGCTCATAGTATAGGCCTAGAAGTGCCCGTGAGAGAATTCGTATAAGTCTGTACGTACATACAGGTATGTATATTTTTGATGAAAGTTCAGTTCAAAGTCGATTTGAGATGAACTTGAGCTTGAACTTTCAATATAATCGTTTCTGTATTTGTAATATGAATGTTTTAATAACTTCTTAAACGGAGCAATTTCGTGAAAATGTGTCGAAAGGCGCAGGTTGACTAGAAATTAAATAAGTTTTTAAAATATAAGCACATTACATACATGATACATGACTTAAATTTACATATATAAGTAAATTTATTTGTATAATCAAAACCTATACTCCATTAGGAACCAATTGATGGTTGGTACAAATTCTTAACTCAAGCTGAAGGTGAACATTACAATATACCATGCAGTGATCCCATAAATGATATTGCTCGGTTAAGAGATGAAGTTCGGGTAAGTACTGATTTGCGTATTATAAATTAAGTGTAATAAATTTATCCAATCAGTTTATTCCATACGGATACTGATAAAAGTGTTATCATGCCACATTCGTTTTGGGAATGTATGTACATACGACATGTAATATGGAATGGAATAAGCTTTCAATAATTTTCCTATTCATGATTACATAAAATCTCCTTGGATTAAATTTGATTTACTTCATCTTAGTCTGTGTATGTATGTAAAAAAAATTGAAGAACAGATGTTAACGTACAGGAAACCTGGTAGACATTGAAGGGCCTTTTATCAATTTTGTACCTATGGTTTTTTGATATTCATATCTTTTTAAATGTTCTCCATTTTCTTCACTTTACGAAGGATTTAAAAAAAAATATTTTCTGACAATGTTTTCAACGGACTGAAGTAAGTCAGGATAAGTTTTGAAGTTTGTTTGCAGCTTTTCTTTAGTCATACATTATTCTCTTAAATTATAAACGGTACCCGAAAGTATGCCAAAACTTCCATTTTAACATGCTGCTGAAACATATGTTACATTCTCTTTAAAGATTATCAAGTATTTTAAAATTTCCGAAGAAACCAATTGTATTCAGTTCGAAAAGAAATTTGTGTCAGAGTGGTCAGAAAAATGTAGTCAAAATAGAATGTTAATTAAAACCAAAACAAGACTTCAGAATCACTTTTTGAATCGATCGGTATAATACGATGAGAGTCTATCTCAATCACTTTCGGCTGTTGAGTATCTCCTCAAAAACTTAATATGCCCTTGTACCAGAAATGGTGTAAGGTCGTTAACTAAATTTGTGTCTTAAAAATTAGACTTAGACCATTGTGAAATGTGACGGCTTATTTGAGTATACATTTATTCGAATTTTATGTATATAAATCTCTATAATGCATTGAAATTTCAATCCTTTTCTCTCTTTCATTGTGCAAATTGTTTCATCAAATGTTTTATAAAAGCGTGAGGATAAAAAGAAATCGAAAAGACGACGTATGGATAATAAAAGTTTACCGCATAATATGAGCAAACGTGATATGATACGTGCTGCCGATTTCAACTTTATTAAAGTCTTGGGCAAAGGTTCATACGGTAAAATATTATTAGCGGAACGTCGTGGTACTGATGAGTTATATGCTGTTAAAGTATTACGTAAAGATGTTATCATACAAACGGATGATATGGAATTACCAATGACTGAAAAAAGCGTACTTGCCTTGTCGGGTAAATCACCGTTCTTGGTATGTTTGCATTCTTGCTTCCAAACTATGGTAGGTGAAAGTGGGAGTATAATCAATATATTTTTTGAAAAAAACATTTTCTTTCTTTTATAAAGGACCGTTTGTTTTTCGTAATGGAATTTTGCAAAGGTGGAGATTTAATGTTCCATATGCGTCAGTATGGCCGCTTTAAAGAATCAGTGGCATTGTAAGCTTTAAGACTTTTTTATTTCCATTTTTGATTTGTTATCTTCGTGAAGAAGAGCGGCTCGTAATAAATAAGAAAACGTTTAAGAGATTTTGCACGATATAAATAAGTTTGTAATCGTATAAACATGTCCGTCTGTTTATTTTTATTATGATGAAGTTCATACAGAGCCAAATATTACTTCAGAGACAGTGAAGTCACGTTATTCCCCCGTGGTATAAGGGTATGCTCAGTTTGTGCGAATGTAGGCTAGAAAGACCCAGAAAGATTCGAGATAGAGTTATATCGATCGCTTCATAGTCATTTTTTGAATCGAGTTAATCTTGTGCACGTGCTCGTCTTGTTTTTAACATCCAGCCCGCAATTTTTGCGATACTTTGATAAAATTTGGTGCACGGACGCATTTCTTTCCAAAGATGAAATGGTTTGGTTTGGACTGAAAATGGTTTGGTTTGTTCGTTTAACGCCTTATTTTGAAAAGCCGATATATGAATAATTATGTTAACCGGTTTGGTGTAGGGTATTTAGCTTTGTAACATTTTTACTTGCTTTTTTTGTATATAGCTATCGAAATGTATTATTAATAAGCTTGGGATTCTCTGACGATTTAAGCATACGATGATATTTGCAAACCGTTCGGTAATTCTGTTCGAAGATATCACGTTTGCAAAAACTGCCATCAAAGCCTGGCACTTTGAATACCAGCTCATGTCCACAAATCGAGCTTAAAATACATTTACAATTAGATAACGGGTATCAAGCATTCACTATATGAATAATGCTTTTCTTGCTTGTTTTATCTCAATTTTTCAATAATTGTTTTCTATTATCTTTTTGTTTAGGTTCTACGTAGTTGAAGTAGCTTTGGCTTTATTCTTTTTACATGAACATGATGTGCTTTATCGTGACTTGAAGTTAGATAATATTCTTTTAGATATTGAGGGCCATATTAAATTGGCCGATTTCGGCTTATCTAAAGATTGCATATCCGACACGGAAACAACTAGAACTTTTTGTGGGACTACGTCGTATATGGCCCCAGAGGTGCATTAACATTTCCCCATTTATGAATGTGAGATGAAAAAACTTATTTCCTTTTAGATACTTAACTACGAATCATACGGTCATAGCGCAGACTGGTGGTCGTATGGTATCTTAATATATGAATTAATGGCGGGTCAGTTACCATTTGACGCTGAAACTGAAGAGGCCACATTTCGGAATATTAAGGAAAAGAAAGCCATTTTTCCAAAACATTTCTCGCAAGAAGCAATGGATATTATAACAAGTGTAAGAAAGCATATCATTATTAGTTAAAGTAAAAAAAGTTTAATTTAAAATTTTTTATTTATGATCTTTTTTTGCAATGTTCTAACGTTTTTATGTTCTTTAGTTTCTAGCTAAAAAGCCCAATAATCGTTTAGGTGCTGGACGTTATGCTCGCACTGAGATTACTACTCATCCATTTTATAAGAATATCGATTGGGATAAAGCGGCTAATAAGGAAATGGAACCGCCCTTAATACCGAAAATTGTAAGAAATAAGCAACAAAAAATATCCGCAAAAATAATTAAATTTTCTTCATATTTATTACGCAGAAACATCGCAAAGATTTGTGTAATTTCGAGGCGGAATTCACCAAAGAAAAAACTGATTTAACACCTACTGATAAATTATTTATGATGAATCTCGATCAAAATGATTTTATTGGTTTCTCTTATATGAACCCCGAATTTATAACAATCGTTTAGATTATTAAAAATATATTCACATAAAACCAGTAAGAAAGTTATATTCGACAGGGATCGAATCTCACATACCCACCGCTATGCTTTTCGCATTGTACTCTCCAAGTTCTCTTGTTTGATACGCATATTGCTGCTTTGAATCTCAGTGTCGATCATATTCATTTCAAAATTAACCCATTTTTAGGCAGACAATAGATCTTCATTTTAACAAAATAGTTTTTAAACTTTCTGTCTTGTTTGCATTATGGCAAGTAAGCATAAAACCTCAAAAAAGTGAAAAAAATAAGATGTAATTACGTGTAACTTCATGTGGGAATGGTCGATTCTTTCCATTTTTGCACTTAAAGAGTAGAGTGGTTCATAAAGTAATTTCAGAAACTTTCAGCTTTCTAATAGTAGTCTTCAGCCTTCTTAATAGTTTTTAAGTACCGAACGAAAAACCACAAATCTTCGCTAAAAAACGAACTTGCGATCAGTTTACGCTCCACTGGAGACTTTTACTCCGACCAACTTATCCGTTTTTAGTTTGCACCTGCATGCAAAAACTACCAATGTTTCCACCAAATTTGAAGACGATATCTTTATTTTTGCAGCTAGAAGAATGCCAATAATACGCACCACACAGACACACAGAAGGACACACATGGTTAAATCAACTCAGAATTTTAAGCTGAACAAAAAATATATATATAGTATAAGGTCTCTGAAGTTTTTTTTTTTTTGGGTGTTAGATATATTATGGAAAAAACAAAATAATTATACCCCCATCTTGCAGTGGTGGATATAAAAATGGCAACAAAATTACATAAAAATCTCTGTTATAAAATGTTGACAGCAAAGCTTGTTAAAGCTATAAATGCAATAGAAATTACTCTATATGAAAATGTGATAAAAGATTTAAGAAAACTTTCAAAGATTTAAGACAACTTTCAAAGCTTTCAAAAAAAAAATTAACAGAATTAAAGCTGAATGGCTTATATAGGAAAAAAGCGAATAAAGTTTCTTTGAAAACTTAAATATAAAACGTTATAAAAATTAACCTAAACCATTATTATTGTTAATCTTATCCTAAGTTCCAAGGAGGAATAAACTATTCTCGAAACATACATTTCAATGCGAAAAAAAAAAAAAAAATGTATATAAAAATATTCGTTCTCATTTGTTTTGCATGTATTGTGCCGCTTTAAGAATAAGCATATATTCGTTCTCATTTGTTTTGCATGTATTGTGCCG